TGTAATGTTCACGAATATTGAATGAACGTAGTAAAAAGATATAGTGCAAATATTTAAAAGAAAAATAATTGCAACAAATTTGTGAGTTTATGTTTCGCCTATTGGCAATATAAAATTTGTTTACTTATAATAAAAGAGTATTGCGAACGAAGTTTTTAATCCGTTAATGTAAAAAAGGAAACTTTGTTCGGCATTATTTTGCGCACCATAATAATGTTAAATGTGCGAGCGCATATTATTTAAAATACTTAGTTACATCGCAGTTGTAATTATAAGTGTAATACATTCTAGTTCGTTCATCTAGTCATTACTTAATTAACGACAAGTATCAAGCATTGCAATATTGTTGGTCTAGGAAATATTTATATAATAATTGAGCATAGGTAGAATATTTACAAATATAATGGTACGTGCCACAGGCATGAAAATAAATTAAAGATATTGAGCTCAAATATACTGATATAAAAGGCAAACTAATTGTTTTCAATGACCCTTTGATAAATCAAATCTGTTCGGTTCATTAACTTGTACCTTTATTTACTCTTTACCATTTAATGCATAATACAAGTTATAAAAGGATTATAAAAATAAAATAAAATTTATGGCGTATAAAATATTTTAAAGCTGTCTTTATAAAGCATACAATCGTAATATGTATTGCACAATTTTATGTTTTTTAAACAGTAGTAATGTACAATGCGGAATAGAATTTAATTTCATGATTAATATACAGCCTGACCCATTTTGTCAAATTTTCAGCGTCGCTTGAGTTTTATTACTATGTATCAGACTATTTAAAAAATACTCTGGCCCCAGATAAACTATAATAGAGTAACTGAAATTCTGCGCTTCTCTCCTTTAAGCGTTTCGACGTTAATGCCCTTGTTTGTTGTAACTTTTCGTCTCCATGGTCATTTTTATTTTCTGCTCCTTGCTTTTCTGTGCTTAAATGCTGTTCAACTGTTTTGAACCAGTGTAAACTGTCTAATTCCGCTGACTGATTCAAGAGAGCATTTATATAAGCGATTCCCATCGCAAAACCGTCGTCAGTGAAAGCTGCACCTGTTTGGTTCTTTTTAAACATTTTTTCTTTATTCGATATTGAATTGTCCACAAAGCTTAATGTTAATGGAGGCACAATCGCATAAAATTGTTGTAAGTGATGCGATTTAGTGTCTCTAAATGCTGATGCGAACACATCAACAAGAAGCTTGAAATATTGTATACCCTTGGTAAAATTTTGCACCAAACTAGCAATATCATCCTCCAAGCACCTCGCTGCAGCTTGAGTTATTGTACTGTAATTTAAGTCCTTGCATATTAATTCAAAAGACGCGGATGAATTAATATCTGGTAAAAATGAGATAGCATTCGAACTTGCATGTAATCCACCTGATCTGATTAATCGTACGTATCCCAATGCATTTCCAATTTGAGTTATTAATTGTCGAAACTGATCTAAATAACTCAAACCGTCAGGCGTCATGCCCAATTTCCTAATTCCCTTCTGGAATTTCTCTGCTCTTTCATATGTATAAGGTGTTGCACCATTTTCTCTTTGAGCTTTGATAAACCTTATGTCCCGCATTAACCTTGATTTTATATGCTCATCAAAAAGAAATTGCGAAAACGTGTGCAACTTCACACGAAGAAATTGATATACAAAGTTTACTGTTGTGCTCATGATACCAGTTCCATGAGTCCTAATGGAATTGGCTATATGTCGAATTCCAATGGTATTTAAATGCTTATTGTTGCTAGTATGTTCGATGAACGTTTGAGTATTTAAATTATATAAATACTTTGAAACAAATACATGAATATTCCGCATAATCTCTAATGCATCCAAACCTTGCTCTAAGGTTTGCGTAGGTAGATGATTCTGTACAGTATTAAGATTCAGTTTATAATGGGCAAGAGCATGCATCATTCGGTAAGTTCTCCAGTCATGCAGAGCCACTGTAGTAAGATTATAAAACATATTATCAAGATAATGTTCAATAAACCTTTTAGCATATATCATACTATTTGCCAAAGGTAATGGTAAAGATTGTACTACTCTTCCACCATCTTTTGTTTCCATATTGAATGGATTCGTAGAATCCAACTTTAAATGTGCATGAACATGAAGCCTTAGATTTGTTTCGATCTCATGACAAACAGGTTCTAATATGTTCTTAGTTAACATCTCTTTTAACTGTAGAATCCTCTTCGTTTTTAAATCCAACCCTTCTTGTTCATTAATGGTACTATTAAATGCTCCAAACAAATGTATAACATGACTTATGTTTAAATTACTGTCTGCTACAAAAGAGAAGTAAGCCGGAATTATATTCTGATGATGTAGCAATATAGAATAATCGCAAATTTCATTGATAACATTGTGCAACTCTGCTACAGTATCATAATTGTCTAATAACAATCTTAATTTCAGCATATCTTCCTCTTTGAATGTATCTGTTAACTGACTAGCACATGCTAAAGCGCATCTTACAATCAATCTTCTATCTGCACTCGCTGGTCCATTTAATAATTTCATACTCAAACTTATAAGTGACAAAGTGTCCAATCTTTCTTTGCTATAGCCTTTGTCTTTCTGTACTAAACTTTTTCGTGTATTTTCTAATGTGGCTAAAATGTAGTAACTTAGATACTGTAATACTTGATTCTGTGATTGCACTATGACTGGTCCCAATATATAAAATGTATTCTGCAAAGACTTTTGTACTTCTATTAGCCTGCAAATCAACTGAACAGTATTACGATTCATTGGTTTAATAAGTGCTGCATGCATGTTCATTATGAATGATACAGTTTCCTTAATTTGGGATAACAAAATAATTAAATCTATCAACAAAGACTGTTTCTGCCAGATGTCTGAAACTTGAAGAGTATTCTTCACTGAAACAGCCTGTACTTCTGTAGACCATGTAACAGCTCTATGAATTAAGTTGTTCACAGTTTGAGACAATTTTTGTGTTCTCGAGGTCAACAGCTTTTCCCCAATTTGTGGACTGATAGCATTGCCAGCTTCCTTTGGTAAGAAATCGCTTAAAAATTGACTTGGTATCCATATAACATTTCCGATCAGAGTAACAGCATAAAATTTCTTATTATTCTCAAGTACTCGTTTAATTAATTTCTTATCACAGGTACCGAATAATTTTATCACTACAACAAGACCAATATTTACTCTGATCCAATTCTTACTCAATGTTGTGCTGCTGCTAGATTTGTTTTCAATATCTGACATTACATTCTTTAAGTAACTAGTAATTTGTTCGCTCAGCATAGGACCTTTACTCACATCCATAACTCGTTCAATTGTTTTAGAAAAAATTCCTTTTTTTAATAAACATTCTTGCAAGTCCTTCAGCAACTTATCGAATGTGTGAAGCTTTGATTCCATTATACCAAACTGTGATGGATCATGGATAATAGAACGTACATGCATTCTGTATTTCTTCCATTGTTCTAGTAATGATGGTTGGGACTCTATGATTTCATCCAATGTTAAAGCAATTGCAAACAGATCGATGAAATGTTCTATTAGCACAGGTAAATAAACTTCATTAGTATTACCAGATAAGCTGGACAGTTGCTCTGTCGTCAAATGTACAACAGTCCATACCCTATTCACAAAAACAAATAAATCTTGTAAGTCAGACAGGAGAGATGTAATGCTTTTCTGATTATTTTCAATATCTCTTTCTCCATGCGTAAATAGTTTCTTATAGAAGGTCTTGGCTTCTATGTCAAGCAGTCTGATCTCTCTGCAAGTGGCAGCAACAGCAGCAAGTAACTTGGTCAAAAATTTATTTTCCATTTCTATTAAAAATATAAGACTGACATCTTCGACGGGTTTGAATACCAATCGCAATGGGCCTTCTACAAAATATTCTAATGTGGAGTCCGGCTTCCACGTTTTCTCTGCCAGCTGTTCAAAAAACTGTCCATATTTTCGCAAATGTATCGAACCTGCAGCTTTGTATACTGTTTCGTCCTTTTTCGAATTCCATGTTGTCGATTCTATCATTGCTACGTGGACTGTTTTTATTAGGTGCACCAACAAGGACACTGATAACACAGTAATTATCCGATGCACCACGGTTGCATGTAGAACGCGTTACTGTGCTCAGATTTATGATTAGCAGAATATAACGATAACACGAATCTTACGTGTCTTTAACCGAAATAAGATTAATTAATTCAATAAATAGTTATTAAGTTCGGGGCATAAATAAGGCATACATAAATTACTTCAAATATTGACAGGAAAAGGTATATGTACATACATATATCAACCTGTCATCAACGATCAAGCATAGTTTGTTGGACTTACTGCGAATACATAACCACAAGAGGGCTAACATGAATATGTAGAGGAAATTTTATTACACGTGCTTAATCCGTGTTATACATAGATTAAACTTGAAAATGTTAAATATAATAATGTCCACGATAAGTTCTATTCCGTAGTTTTGTTATATTATTACTTTTCCTCTAGCGATTAATTTAAATAAACCCCTATAACGTAGACAATTTAGCGACCTCTGGAAGTATGTAACAATTGAAAAGAAATATAAAGTTTTGAATTGAGCGCAATTTCGCGCCATCTGTATAAAAAAAAAGAAATGATTCAAATGTATTATCACGGATTACCTTTGTTAACGCTACTAGAAGTAAAATTAATTTGTTTCGTTTAATGTGTCCTTATACATATAAATAATATTATATAGCAAAATAAAGATAGAAGCGAATAAATTCTGTAATTAATGCTTTTACATGATTATAATTAAACATGGAAAGGGGAAGATATGGGTGCAGATGCAAAGATTAATTTTTTATGTTTTTGTCTAAAACTAACTTTCTTTATTCCTTTCATCATTAAATTTTTCATCATTGTATTCAATGTGATTTAATTTCTTTCACTTCATCCATATCTCTTTGTGTTATCTGACTATATACTAAAAAGACACCATATATGATTATAACAATAAGAAACAATGAAAAACAAAGATTTG